TAGATACTTTATATACTTTTTCGAGTAAAGTTGCAGGATACAGCCAATTTTTAAGTAAAATAATCTTTTAGGGAGTCAGTGGATGCAGGTGGCTCAGCTTACCGTTCTTTATAGCAGTCTATGGGAGAGGCTTATGTCCAGCAGTGGACGGATAATGGCTTAAATGATGATGATGATGAATCTTGTAAATAATGGTAAACGTTCGATTTTTTTTTATATTTTTTCCTTTGGTAACTAAGTAAGAAATTAATGAAACGATCTAACAGTACAATAAAAATTTACGATTACTCGACAAGCATTCGAGTATCATATGTATTCGAGTACCCGGGTACTATTCGAATTAAAACTCGACTCAGCCTGACTCGACACAACACTAGCCCAAACACAAAATGTACCTATCATAATTAACAAGGGATTAATTTTCTAATTCCCTTACTTGACATGCCATAATTCTAACTTAAGATTTTGATTCTGTTTTAATATTAAATAATAAGATTAATATAATCTCTGGAATTACTGAGCCTACGTTCTAAAAGGTGTATTTAGACCAAGCTAGTGTGTTTAATGTAACACAATGGAGTTAGGGGGAAAAGGGATTGTTAGCATTGGAGATTGACTGCCCTATTGTTAGCAATATACCCTATTAGGTCGACCTTCACGTGGTTCCCCCTGGAAACCATCGTGAACAATTCTTATTGAATCCGTCACGATGAGCTAACTGACCTGCTTCATCCTCACCTATCATCCTTCACTGGTGCCCCGCCGGTGTATACCGATAGCGCGGGTGGGGTTACCATTCCATTATCACCCATTTAAAAAAAATACAATGCAGTTTCTATTGAAACCCAATTTTTAGTTAAATAAGATGATTTAATTAAGTTTAACAATAATTTTAATCCATAAGCAATAGCAACGTTATCACTAATAAATCGTCTTTCTGAAGTGTGTCAAAAATATACTATAGGTAGTAATGAAAAAAATATTGACAGGTAGATAGATAGGCTTAAACATAGTGAATTCCTGTACTTTGTCTGTTCTCCCAATTTTAGCACCTTCTAAAAGAAAGAGTTTTTTATCGTCCTTTCTTTGTATCTTCTACGATTATGTCTCCAATTCTGAACCGATTTTGATAATACTTTTACAATTTAAGTTTACTACCACATTGGTTCCTTATTATTTTTTTAATGATTAGAGCTTTGAAGTACAAAACTCTTTTTATGATACTTAGAAAGACAACAAGCTGACGGCCCACCTGATGGAAAGTGACAATCGTCTATAGACATGTACCGCACCATGGACATTACAAAATAGGATATCATGCTCATAGTACACCTCATGCGTTTCCATTCCTTAGGACTATGATGTTTTTTTTAATAGGTGATAATGGAATTGTAATCCTGCCTGCGCTATCATTGTACACTGACCAGTGTTTGATGATGTGAATGAAATCAAGTCAGATGGTCCTTCGTGATGTCAACAAGAATTAATCACGACGGTTTTCAGGACGAACGCCAAACTTCGGTTGCCAACCCGCCTGCCAAGCGTGGCAACTACTGGCAAAACCCCCTCTTATGGGGAAGGCCATGTTCAGCAGTGGACAGTTAATGGCTGATACAAAAAACATAGTACACTTTTACGCCGATTAAAAAACATAACAGGGTGTGATTAAAAAAAAACTTTACGTCTCCAAAACGAGCCGTTTCGCTATAAACAGCCAGTTGCGTTTATTAACGCATACATCCAGCTGCTATAAAAAGCGTAATATTATTAAAACTGTGTCGTATTCTTTATGTTCGTACTTGGTAACGATTGTAAAAATAACCGGTATTACTCGGGTGTAAAGTAGCGTCAAGCACGAACACCAGTCGAGGTTTTATTTTTTTAATTGTTGAAGATGAAATGGTAACCCCGCCTGAGCTATCAGTATACGCTGGCGGCGACCAGTGAAGGACAAACTGTGAAGATCAAGATCAGTTAACCAGCAAGATCGTTAAAAAGATGGTTTCTAAGAGAAACTACGTGGAGGTCGACCTAACAGGGTATATTTCTAGCAAAAGAACTGAATACACCCCATTACTAACAACCCCTTCCATCCTGTCGATTGTAAATTTGGAATTGCTAAAACAATTCCAAATTTACATATCTATCTCTTATATATTACAATATGAATAATTGACAAAAAATATTTTTATTATCATTGTACCCACAAAATTTACTCAAAATTTAAAAAATAGTCTACTAGGCGAAGGGAGATATTATTTTGCCTAATAGACAAATCTTGTGGGTCAATCAATCAGAAGAATGGGCTTCATTTGTACATTTAAAATTTTTACGCAATATAATTTATCAACGTCGAAGGATGGGCAGCAGCGTGCCTCTTAAAACATCATCAAAGGCTAACTGTGGTCGCCAACTCGCCTGCCAAGTGTGGCAACCACTGACAAAATCCCCCTTTAGGGAGAGACCTATGTCCAGCAATGGACGGTTAATGGCTGATATGATGATGATAATATTTTTAACCTATAATACTAAATGTGACAAAAATACCATCCTTCCTCCCTTATATATGTGAAATTTTTAAAGGGAGAAACAATTACAGTTTATAAGGTTAAGGTGATATGTTAAACCGTTACGCCAACAAGGTCGTCAAATGTCATTGGCATGGTCTTATTCCACTGTTAAAGTAGAATACATGTCCTTCCGCACATAAATCCGTGGCAAGTTGCTCAAAGAATACCCACGAACAAGTCTCGTCTGCGAAAGGCCTAAAGCGCAAACCACACTGAGAGCTATGCTAAGCTAATGAAACTTATGTACGTAGCTGCGGCGTTTATTCATACTTTAGTACTACAATTACTACTCTATGAACAAAAGATCTTTTTTTATGCAACGTAGAACGGCATACAAGCTGACATCCCACCTGATGGAAAGTGGTAATCGTCACCTATAGACATGAGCAGTAACGTGGACATAACAGTGTATACTGCTTCGCCCATGATACTCCTCATGCGTTGCGATTCCTGAGAACTAAGGTGTCTGTACCCTGTAAATTCACTGCCATATCCCACCCTTCAAACCAAGTCAGGTTTAAACATGGGTAGTACCGATACCGCTCTAATAAATATATATTGTATTCTTATAGACATTTATTATGAAAAAAGATATGTACGTATATTAATTTTCATTGTGTTCTTCATTTCTGTATTTCATATTTGATAACCGACATTTAATATATCCATTACTGGGCTGATATTATATCTACGATATATAGATATTGCTACACTAGCTGACACAGCAAGCGTTACGCTGCCATAGTTTTTTTGGATAAGGATACCCTAATTACCTAGCGGTATGAAACATACAACCTGTTCTCTTACCTACCAAGTAAATATACAGAAAAAATTTCAGTAAAAATCGGAGGAATTCGACAAAAAACACCGTAACACGAGATTTTGACATATAAGATATTGTCTACGCCTGTTGAAAACTGTGATAATTGCGATGAAAATGCGGTCAAATTATTATATATTTACAAGGACGACGAGATAAATAAAAAAAGTATTATGTTTTCAACATCTTTTTTTATTGAATAGACAGTTTGCATCATATCTTTCTATAGTAAAAAGTATAAATGGCCAGTACGTGCAATATTAAAAAGATTTCATTCTCACATATTAAATTGTATCTGCAACAATTTAGTTTCGCTTAGCTTAGCTCTCAGTGTAACTTGTTCTTTACATAAAGAGCAAATCTCTTTTCGAACAAATTACCTACAAGCCAAACAAGCAATAACGTTGAAATACATAACAAGCGGGGCGCGACACATTCACGTTTTCTTTGTTATATGAGCCTCATTATTCACAGTTTGTGAATATTACCCATACATATGTATATACGTTCGCTGTGGCTTCCTGAGTCGTCGCTCATATCGGCAGGAAGCGACAGTTGATCGATCATTCCTCCATTTGCTGGAATGTAAAGGAAAAATATAAGGAAAATAATAGTTGACACATTGACATACATTATTGTGTATTTAGCTATCTATCTAGTTACATATATATATACATATATATACAGTGAGAATCTATGTCGAGGTATTATAAGTGGTTTCTGTGCAACCTTTCTTTTTAACAAATACTTTTCATGTTTCTCAAAATTTGTATAATGTTTTTGAACAAATTTAACCATTTCGTATAAGTATAGCGATGTTTAATCCTTTATTACACCAAAAACATAACAATATATAATGACAATACATACATAAAGACAATAATATACATAAAGGTATAAAAGGCGGTCTTATCGCTAGGACTAAGCTACTACTAGCTACTAGAGCTTTTTATATTTTATTAAATAAATAAATGGATGGACGAATGAATGAATGGGTACATGATAAATGAATGCATGAATAAATAAATTTGTAATAGTTGATTTGGAATTTATTGTGTGTATATATATATATATGGTGACCCCGACGTGATTTCAACTTCAATTTGTTTCGATCACCAATCTTTTCCCTTTTTCGAGGCGTGAATAAATTTTTATTCTTGACTTATTATATTTATTAATGAATAGATATACAAATAGTTAGACTGTAAATTTTATATTATATAAAAATAACTTGAAAACTGTTCCGTGTACACACATCTACCTACTCTCTTGAAAGCCATTAGTTTTTTTTTTTTTTATAAAGACTTGACTGTTCCATCTCTCCGGTATTCACGGGGTGAATAGCAACGACTTGTCTGGTGTTGCTATACGGAGAACATTATGTGCTTTGTTTCTCCTTATGTGCGTAGACATCCTCCCCCCGGTCGATGACTGAAGGTTCAGAGGCTCGAAGATCTGTTTTATCATCCTCGTGAAGTAGTGGGCAGGTTTGGTGCAAGCTTCGCCGATAAATTCCTTTTGCAGTTTTAATATCTGCCACTCTAGCAACTCCATCTCGTCCAGGGTACAATTTATGTATACGTCCAACTCTCCATTTTAGTGGTGGAATATTAGGCTCCTTCAAGATAACCATGTCTCCTTCCTTTAGATTGTCTTGATTTATTGAAGTGCCCTGGAGTTAAAGGTTCTAAGTCTGTAGGATCGGATGAGAGAGGGGTCAAAGGTCGGGAATTTAGGATTGCTTCGATTTGTGTGAATAAAGTCGACAATTCCTCGAACGTCAAATGCCTATCACCTAATATTCTGACCGCATGAAATTTGGCCGCCTTTACGCCGGCTTCCCAAAGACCTCCAAAGTGAGGAGAGTATGCAGGTGAGAAATTAAATTTAATGCCCTCATCAGCGCCAAACGTGGAGATGTTTTCATGTTCTGAATTTAGAAAACTATTAATTTCATTATTTGCACCTACGAAATTAGTACCGTTGTCACAATAGATTTGATTCGGTTTTCCTCTGCGTGATATAAACCGACGAAGGCACATAATAAATGCATCCGTTGATAAATCGCTAGCGATTTCTAAATGTATTGCCTTTGTGGCAAAACAAATAAATAAGCATAAATAGCTCTTCGATATTTTACAACCGCGTCCCTTTCTGTCTGTGATCAAGAACGGCCCGGCAAAATCTACACCGCTGACTTCGAATGGATAACTTGGAGTAACTCTTGAAGCTGGTAAGTTTCCCATTAAAGGATTTATAGATTTAGCTTTCATTAATCTGCATACAGAACATTTATTTATTGTACCACGAGCCAAAATTCTACCCTTCAGAGGCCAGTATTCATTTCGTATGTTGGCTAATAATAATTGTGGTCCACTATGTAAATGCTTTTTATGCATATATGCAAAAAGAAGTTTAGTAAAATTGTGACTGCAGTCAAGCAAAATTTGATGCTTTTTTGTATAAATTTCAGAAGAATTTTGGAGATGGCCACCGACACGCAGGAACCCGTTATCGTCTAGAAATGGACTTAGAGAAAGCAGTCGCGATTTAGAAGGTAAGTTTTTGTTTATTTTTAAAATATTTATCTCAGTAGCAAAACATTCTTGTTGATGTAGTTTAATTAACCTTTTCATCGCTAAATTAAGTTCTTCGACAGTTAAGTGTCCCGTATGTTTGTCTATTTTACATTTACTGTTATGTAAATATCTTAGTATATAAGCCATGACTCTCTGTAAAGTTGTAAATTTAGAATACTTGTTGAAATCAATAATTTGCGTGACTTTATTAATATTAATACTTGTATGTGTGTATGTAGTTGTAACAGTGTTTGTTAATGTTTTAGCAGTAGTAGTTAGATTTTTTCTTTCAGGTAAATCACTTAGAAGTGCAATGTTTTGCGGCCATTCCCTTTCATCTTGCCTTAGAAATTCAGGACCATCCCACCATAAATTTACCCTCTGAATTTGTTTGGGATTCAAGCCACGCGATGCTAAGTCAGCTGGATTTAGTTGACTCGGCACATGTCTCCAAGATTGCGCAAGTGTTAGCTGCTGAATTTCCGATACTCGATTGGACACGAATGTTTTCAAGTCGCGAGATTGCGAGTGTAACCACCCAAGAACTATTGATGAATCTGTCCAGAAATATATAGATGTAATTTTACGTCGAATTGAACTCATTACCTTTGCACTTAACCGGGCTGATAATAATGCACCGCAAAGTTCTAATCGAGGTATACTAATAGCTTTAAGTGGAGCGACCTTGGTTTTTGCACATAGTAATCTAACTAAAATATTTCCTGCATCATCAATCGATCTCATGTACATGCATGATGCATATGCTGATTCAGATGCATCTGAAAACGCATGTAGCTCGACATTAATGGGATTAGCTATACAAACACAACGAGGAATACGAACAGATGATAGACTGTTCAAATTTAAAATAAAATCTATCCACAACTGTTCCAGTTCCTTTGGTAAAGGATCATCCCATTCCAATTTGCTCAACCATATTTTTTGTAAAATCATTTTTGGAATGATAGTACAAAGTCCTAATAGACCTAAGGGGTCAAATAATTTAGCTGAGTTGGACAGGATTGATCTTTTAGTAATCCTCTCTTGTGTATTAATATTTAAAGAAAACTCAAGAGTATCACTTCGTGGATCCCACTTAAGACCTAAAGCACTAGTTCGAGCATTCACATCTAAGTCTTTGGGTGTCAAGGTGTCAGGATTATCATCAAATATAGATGGGGCGTTCGTTCGGAATTTACGAAGCGGAAAGCAAGCAGAGGCTAGAATAGTAGTTACAGAGTTAACTATATTTTTTAACTCATATTCAGTCTCAGCACCCGATAAAAAATCATCTACATAAAAATCTTCCTTCAATAACCTTGCTATAATAGGATCAGTGCATTCCAATGACAATTGAATGAGGCACCTGGTACTGAGAAATGGTGCAGAAGCGGTACCATAGGTTACGGTGTTTAATTGAAATGTTTTAATTGGTTGCTGTTCGTTATCACGCCATAAAATTTTTTGCAAACTGCGCTGATTAGGGTCGACAAGAATTTGCCTATACATTTTTTCAATATCTCCTGTGATAACGAATTTGTGTTGTCTATAGCGTATTAAGATAGATAGTAAATCGTTCTGTACTACTGGACCTACATATTGAATATCATTTAAGGATTTTCCAGATGACGTTTTTGACGATGCATCGAAAACCACACGTAATTTTGTGGTACTACTACTCTCTCGGATTACTGCATGATGCGGAAGATAATAGCCTAATTTTTCATGATCGGATATTTCATCAAGATGCCCTAACTCTTTGTACTCATATATAAAATTACTATAATTTCGATGGAAAGAAGAATCGCGTTTAAACTTTCTTTCCATTTGTTTAAACCTTTTAAGTGCAACGTTGTATGAATCACCTAACACTTGTGGTGATTCTTTAAGTGGAATTTGTACACAAAATCTTCCATTGTCATCTCGTTTAGTAGTTTCTCGAAAGAACCTCTCACAATAATTGTCATCAAGAGATTTAGGATTATTAGGTATTTCTTCTAATTCCCAGAACATAGCTAGTTGTTTATATATCTCTTGAGAAAAATGGCATTTGATAACATGACTATTTGAACTACCTCCGCTAATAGGACCGGTTACAATCCAGCCTAATTGAGTTTTTTGAAGGATAGGTAATTTAGGACCTAGTTTTATTTTTGAATTATCTAGCAACTCCCAAAAAACATCAGCTCCCAAAAGAATATCAATTTCTGATGATTGATAAAACTTAGGATCTGCAAGTTGTATATTATTTGGAATACCTAACCCATTAATACATATTGATTTGTGAGGTAAGGAATCTGTGATATGAGGTAAGACATAACATCGTATCGGAATGCTAAAGGTGTTCACTGTAGAATGTATTGTGATATCTATTGTTATAATTTAGTAATGTTTAAAGTTGTGTTTCCTATACCAGAAACACATTGATGAACACTTTGAATATTGTTTAGTCCGATCAACTGTAGTGCCTTTGTAGTTATAAACGTAGACTGGCTACCACTATCTAATAAAGCCCTTAATATGTAGGGTTTGTCATTGTTTGTCACCTTGACCAACGCTGTAGACAAAAGAGCTTGATTGGCGGCGACAGCAGACATAATTATAGAATTCGAGAAATTAGCTGTGGTTTTAGGTTCATTTAGAATGGTAGCATTGTGTGTAGTTGTCAGTACTGTAGATGAATCATGTGTTTGTTGATCACATGGTATGTGTGCTTGAGGTGGAGTGGTTGAATTTACAGGTAATGAAAGTTGTTTGTGTAATAGGGTATTATGTTTTCCTTTGCAGATTCTACAGCCGCTCATTTTGCACTGGAATGATCGATGGCCGCCTCGGAAACAATTCTTACATAGACGACCGGCAGAAACCTTAGCAATACGTTCTTCTATTGGTAACGATTTAAACATACTGCAGTCAAACAACTTGTGTTTTAAACCACAAACTGTGCAAGAAAAATCAGGAGATGTCTTTGAGGAAATAATAAATGATTTAGATTTAACCATATTGTTGCGTTTTTCATTTTTATTTGATCTATTAGCATTGACTGTCTCTAAAACTGTTGCCCTTTGACGTAAAAATGTATAAAAATTTTGTAAAGTAGGTGATTCCTTATTGCTTCTAAATTCTTCCCATTTACCCGCTGTAATACTGTCTAATTTACTAACTGCTATGTATATAATAATCGTGTCCCATGAATCGGTCGGCTCTTCTAAACTATTTAATGCGCTTAAATTTTTAGAAAATGCATCAATTAAACAACGAATACCCTTATCTGATTCCTTAGACAAAGGTTCGATTGAAAATATCGCTTTTAAATGCTCATTAATTAATATACGTTTATTATTGTACCTATCACATAATAAGTTCCAAGCAATTTGATAATTAGCTGCAGAAACAGCGATAGAACTAATAACGTCACTGGCAGCGCCATCTAGATAGGACTTCAAATAGTGAAACTTAGCAACTTCTTGAATACTTCCATTCTCATGAATCAAAGACAGAAAGGTATCCCTGAAGGTTATCCACATGCTGGTCTGTCCGTCGAATCTTAAAATATGTAATGGAGGTAGCTTCAGATTTAAGGCAGACTGAGTGTTGGCAGATGAAGTTTCAGATTGGTTTTCATTATTGTAATATTCTAACAGAGCTTCAGCTTCAGCAATTAAAGAAAAGAATTTATTTTCTGTTTGTTCGCGTTCCTCAATTTGTTTATCTAAATCTTCATCCAATACCCACTTCTCAATGTCTGTCTGCACCTTATCAAAGTTATATGATAGTTCACGAGTTTTTACTAGCCTTAAGTTTAATTCATGAATCCTAACCTTATTTATTTCTCGAGTTTCCAGTAATGGTCGTAAATATTTTTCAAACAATGTTAATTGAGCTCTAATTGTGCTCCGTTGTTTTAATAAATCTTTATAGTCTGCTATTATTAAAGTGCAAACAATGAATCAATAGGTACTGACTTATACTGAAGTAATTCACACATTGAAAACAGCTCCAAGTTAATATGTTATAGAACTTAGTAAATCAAAAGTAGCTACAAATATATTTGTTGAAACCTCTCTAAATACCAGATAAAAAACACCGGCGTGAATTTAAATATGATTTTAGTGATCGTTATATCGTACTAAAAACCTCCACATACAATATAAAATGAAATATTAATAGTTAAACTAAAAATATATCCGTACTTTTAATTGTCAACTTCTACCCACACAAAAAAGGAATGGATAGGAATTTATTACAATGATTGGGCTTACTTCCCTGTGATTATTGTTTCAAATCTTCGAATAACATATAGTGTTGATGATGGAGATTTTTGCCACTTGATAAACTTGTAAATTTGTAAAGTTGAAATCACGTCGGGGTCACCAATTTGTTTCGATCACCAATCTTTTCCCTTTTTCGAGGCGTGAATAAATTTTTATTCTTGACTTATTATATTTATTAATGAATAGATATACAAATAGTTAGACTGTAAATTTTATATTATATAAAAATAACTTGAAAACTGTTCCGTGTACACACATCTACCTACTCTCTTGAAAGCCATTAGTTTTTTTTTTTTTTTTATAAAGACTTGACTGTTCCATCTCTCCGGTATTCACGGGGTGAATAGCAACGACTTGTCTGGTGTTGCTATACGGAGAACATTATGTGCTTTATTTCTCCTTATGTGCGTAGACATATATATATATATATATATATATATATATATATATATATATATATATATATATATATATATATATATATATATATATATATATATATATATATAAAGAAAGAAAATTTCATTATTTGTTTGTGATTATTAAACTTAAAAATGACTCTATCGATTTCAGAAATCCTTTCACCTATAAAAAGTTACATTATTTGAGACTAACGCGAGTAACATGAACTATATTTTATATATATAAAAAAATCTACCTACCTATCTAAGCGAAGTCGAGGCCCTGAGATCCATTAACTAATTTGGAAATAATTTTCCGTTTTAGGCATCAAGAAAACTGATATCGAATTTCCCAAAAGAAAAAGTTTAAATTCAATTGTTTAGTTTCCTTAGTCTTGAAATCAGTTAACAATAATTTAAGATTAATTTTGATTGACATTAAGATAAACGGCTATTTCAATTATAATGAATTTATTATGGGACCAACACTGAAATAGATTCTATCGATTACAATAAGAAAATCAGATACTAATGGTACAGAAGTATTCACACAGACAACATTTGCACAAAGTTTCCCTTTGGTATTCAGATATTCGATACTACCTATATAATCTACATAGCTTTATACTGAAATATGGTCCTACACAATTGCCCGTATTCAAAAGCTTCAAATTACTTAGCGAGTTTTGGAGAGGACTATGCTCTGAGTTGCTTTGCGTGACAGAATTCGAAATGAGGATATTTGCAAAAAAAACAAAGTCACTGGCATAGTCCAAAGGATAAGCAAGCTAAAGTGCTAATAGACTGGTCATTTAGTTCGTAAAATTAACAACTGATGGGGAAGAAAGGTTCTTAAATGGCGACTCAGTACGGGCAAACGAAGTGTAAGACGACTTTCCTTCGTTCCTTATGGCAGTCTATGGAGGAAGCTAAAGTTCAGCAGTGGGCATATAATGACTGAGATGATAATGTAGGTAAATTCATCTCCAGGTAAATTAATAGGTTGTTGCTTGGAGGCTAGTGTTGACAGTTCAGTGTCCAGACAGCGAACTCTGGGAGTCACAATTTGCCTGACAATGCCTTATTTAGTGGTGAAATACGTGTCGCAACATGTGCGTGGACTGGATGGCGGTTGGAGATTGACAAATAATATTGAAAGTCACAGAACTTCTAGCAATAATAGTAGGTAATCTTCAAATGTCGCATTATATATATATATATATATATATATATATATATATATATATGTAAAAGAAACTGTCTCTTCGTTGATGACAAAATAATTTAAATCTTCATTTGACAAGTTCGTTTGATCAATACAGCAATTCAAATATATAATAAATTATCGACTGAATACAGAGATCTGACAGAGAATAAAAATTAAAGAGATACTTTATAATCCATTATTATAAGCCATTATCGAGAAATATTTTTACTCACTTGACAAGTTCCATATTAAATATTTGCACGCCACACAGTACAATGCAATGTCTGTTTTTAACAGTAAACACTTCTAACGTTATCCTGTATTCAAGCAAGTAAAGTTATTAATTCATTCATAATAATAATAAATAAATAAAAAAAGCTAGCCTTATCTGTAATCCTTAAACGAATCTATAAATTGCCAGATATTGAGGTTGAGGGCACTAGCCTCGGTTCCTTTAAGAACCACATAGAATCTACTTCAATTCATTTCCTAAAAAGTACTGACATGTAAGCGGATAAAGGCCAGATTCTCGACTCAGGACCGATCAATTATCTTGAGTAGCACTTAGACGGCTTCAAACGAACTTGTTCCTTTTATCGTGTGAAGGATCACTAATGTCTTGTTTGACCTACCTTTCGTGATCAGAACTGATAAAGTCTAGGGACTGCATACATGCGCAAAATCTTACTAATATAATAGGTTATAGCCCACGGCTTCGCCCGTATTCGTATTGTAATATTAAACAATCTGTAAGCTCCCTTGAAAAATGAGCTAACAAATGCAAATAGAATTTTTCAAATCTAGTTGATAGTTTTAAAGGTTAACGTATTCGAACAATCTCTTCCGCTTTTCTATATTATTTTAAATTGTAAGTAAACAATGTCTGTACATAGGAAATATTTAAGAAAAATTGATATGAAAATACTTAACAAAAACAATAGAGGTCAAAACAATAACTTTTAAATTTTTTTGGATTTTTAAGAATTATTTCGGCATCACACAAGAGCTACTCTTACTGCACCAAATTAACAAACTGCAGTTGCCAACCCGCCCGCAAAGCATGGCAACTATTTGCAAAATCTTCCAAAAGGGAGACCTATGTTCAGCAGTGGACCGTTCACGGCTGATATGACGATAATAATGTTGATCCCATCCTTCAAATTCACAGCTGCACACTGCGGCAAAAATAAAGAAAGGAAAAATTGTTACTTTTGCCCAGAGTGGAAAATTTTTGCTTTTGCTCGAAGCGGCAAAATTTCTTTATTTATATATATTACACTTAATTTACAAGTATCAATAACTTATAACAAATCTCAGCAAATTACCCATCTTTGTAATTACACAGTACATAGAATAAGCTACCCCTTCCTTTCCCGTGGATGCCGTAAGAGGCGAATTAGGAAGCTTAATAGTCGAGCGATGGGCAGTAGTATTCCTCTTTAAACAACTCCCAAGCCTAACTGCGATTGTGAACCTGCCTGCCAATCGTGGCATGTACTTGCAAAACCCCCCTTATGGGGGAGGTTTAACATGTATGTTTGATAGTGAACAGTTAACGGCATTTCAATGATGATGATGATTACAACGAACTGGGCGTTGATGTAAATGTTGGATTCTTTGATGAACACAACATGTACCTATTGTCAAATTCGAAGAGTTTCCGCTTATTTGTAAGTTTTTACGACTACTTTTCGACTCAGATGCGTAACCTGATACGCTTTATGGTGTTGAAAATGAGAAAAGTTTTCCCAAACAAAAAGCAATGAATTTCATTCAGCTTTATGGCTATATAATAATAACTTATCATATTTAATAACATTTAGAAGAGAATCAATAATAAAATTTTATAATTATATTTTATATCTTTCGAGTTTCCACCGTAAAGCAGTTGTGTTTGTATGGCTGTGTTTCGGTTTGAAGGTTGGCAGTGAATTTACAGAGTACAGAGAAACAACACCTGAGTCCTCAGGAATGACAATACATGGGGGGACATCATGAGTGAAACAGTATACTCTGTTACGTCCATGGTACTGTCCATGTCTATAGGCGACGATTACCACTTTCCATCAGGTGGGCCGTCAACTTGTTTGCCATTCTAAGTTGTATAAAAAAAGGAACAGAGATTCCTAAACTGGGTTACGTCAAACCTAGAGGCTTCGTAGAAAAGTTACCACGGTTCCACGAAATCTCACTTTTATAGAGTGAAACAATTTCATTCTTCACATCTTTTAGATCAAAAATACAGTGTTTCACTTTTAAAATATTTCTAATAAAAGTTTTATTCTTATTTCAGTGTATTTGTAATCATTCGATATGGGTTTCCATAAAATATTATAAAAAGTATTTGATGAGTGTTTTTTTTTTTTTTAATAGTCTGGGTCGCGTAAATGCTAAAGCGATTCGAGCTCGCTATTGGATACGGGCAACGGGTCAGCTCGAAATATGGGAGATGAGATACTCAAAAATATATGTACACATAGGATATCCCTATCGCTAGAATCGCCATCGACTGGGAGTTCACCCTCATACCCTACAGCCCAAATAGTGGCGTACAACGCGGTTTCGGAGATGTTTTCTGCCACGAACACTCAGGTTATAGAATAAGCTACCTGCCGAGGTTTTTCCAAGACACGCATGGGGTTTTTCAAAAGGGGGGTTTCTTTAAGATCGGCGACGGGCGCGTAATACCCCTAATATTGCAGGCGTTCATAGTTTACTGTTGTAAATAAATAAATGGATTAATGTATGCATGAATAAATAAATCATCCATAAAATAATGTACCCAAATACAACGAGTGAAGTTTCATAATAAGGATATTATGAATTTAAAACATCAATTATGTTAATAACATACAATACAATACCGGTACCGA